AAATAAAGCAAAGCCACTTCCTCGTCCGACATTAAACAGAGCCCGACAGAGGAGGGAGGGGCGGGGAGGCTCTTGCCGTGTGAGCGCTTCAAGAGCTGACCTGCGTCTGACCTCAAAGTGCACAAGCGACCAACTTGAAGCGTTGGATGCAATTTTGAAGCTGAAATCGCGTTCGGTGTGAACGCAGCATTAGCCTACTGCTTTAATTCAGCTTCAGAATGAATATATCACACAGCCACGCATGGAAGTATGTCATATGCTGATATTTTAACACAGTACAGCCACGCAACATCAATGTCAATTTCACAAACTTGTGGCAACACATCCTGTTTTGGTAGCCAGATATTTCAAAATAAAAGTCAGATTTAATTGAGTTCATATATAAAACAAACTTTTGCGTGGTAACGCAAAAGTATTGCGAGGTAACGCAATAGTATTGCATAGGAACGCAAAAGAAAAAAAAAAACCCATGTCCCCTGGCGGGCTCCATACTTTTCTCCTAAAATGCTTTAAATTACAGCAAAATTTAGTTTAATCTTTAACTTTCCTTTTAGGTAAAAAGAGTTTTTAAAGAGGAGTTTTGTGAAAAGCGAATGAACAACAAACATCTTACCTGTTGTAGATAAGTATTTGAATCTTCTCTGTTTGAAGAAACATTTTTTTATTCTGAACTTAGTGACAAACTAATGTCTGAGCAAAACTAAGACTAAAATGATTTATTATTTATACCGTTAAAATTACACAACAGCTCACTCAGACATTATTGTATAAACTCCATTRCTGTGAATTTGCATTACATGGTTATTTATATAGAATTATTAGAAGCACAAATAAGCTAGCAGCAGCTAGCTGACGCACTTCTGGTGCAGCCTGCACTTCCTGTTTAAAATGAACGGCACAAAAAGTAAGGAAATTTGTGTTTATTTCTTTGTTGCAACACTGCTTCTTCAATGCTGAATATGTGGGTTGTGCGCACAAATTTCACCAGATCTTCTCTGTCAAACAGCTTATCAGTGTTGCCAACTCCTGAGCAAGAAAAGTCCCTATTGGCTGTCCTAAAAGTCGCTAGATGACGTCATTACCTAATTTGCATAGTTGGATGTTTGCCAATAACAGTGATCTGAGCTATAGGAGAGATGATAAAGAGTGAAAAAGTGAATAAAAACACAATATCTTTACAACTGCAATTAAACTTAATGAAATAAAAATAATTTTATAAATTTTAATGCTTAGATTCACATAAATTAAATTTGTGGGAATCTTAAATTTAATCTGCAGACAGTTCGATGTCACCAGACACAGGGAGGAAGAGGTGAAGCAGTGACTGATCTGTGAGTCAAACACAGCTGGGTCCAGAGATTTAGTTCAGAGAGACAGTAGCAGAGAAAAACATTACAATAAATATTACATCCCACTTTGTAAACCTGACAGAAGCAGTGACAGCTTTGCGCATGCGTGATTCATTTTCAGCTGTCTCCTCTCA